ACATCTATTTCTTAAAACCATTATTGTAACGTGACGTACAATGATGTTTATTTATAGAAAAGCATCAGCATAATATGATGTATGGTGATGTTTATTATTCAAAATGGTCACTGTAGCATAACATATAGTGACGTTTATTTTTCGAAACCGTTGTCATAGGATACCCTCTGCAAACGGTTTTAATAACATCCGGTAAAAATAAAAACTAAAAAAAGTTCAAAATGACTGTCAATATATAGAAACTCAGTAAAATAGCATTGATAATTATATGAATAATATATCTAAAGTAAAATAATAAAAATCAATTGTGTCAAAAAGTTTCTTTCTAAGTAAAAATCAAAAAAGTTTCTTTCTCTTGTTAAACGTACTCTTCGTATGCTTTGGTGTCTTTAGCTGATTAATAGTTGTGTGCTTTTTTGTCTTCTTATTTTGATTCTCTTTACGCTCATCAGAAGTCGTTTGTGATACCTACACCAAAAACAAGAAGTTCAACAAACCCGGAATAGTCTTGGATCAAACTTTTTCATTCAGCAGGTAAATACTAGTAGTCCATGTTCAGATCAAATTATCTAAACTGGACCGGTCTAAGGGCAAGATTGATTCGGACCGCTCGACAACCAGGTTGGGCTTTTTGGCAAGCTGGACCCGACCGGTCTAGTCTGAGTTCTTTTTCTTTTGATTTTTTATCGACCAAAAATATGTTTTAAACATTAACGTTAGGTACCAAAAAATTGAAAATTGAAAGATTGGTTTATTTAGAAACAAATGCATCCAAAATGACATGTCAACCCGAAGCTTGAACCAATTGGGTTTTTTTTGATCAATTTGTGCCCACCATTACTACATATGATATACGATGACGTAAATTTCTGAAGACTATGACTGTATCATGATATATGACATAAAATCCTCAACCGTGACCATATCTTGACAAACAATCACATAAATTTCTCAAAACCGTCACTGAATTATGACATATGGTGACCATTACTTTTCAAAACCGTCACCGAAATATGGCATACGGTGACGTTTCTTATTCCAAACTGTAATATTAGCATAACACATTTTGACATTTATCATTAAAAAACATCACCATAAAATGACATACGGTGACATAAATTTATCAAATCCGTCACTGCATCATGATATACGGTGACATAACTTTATCAAAATCGTCATTTTAAAAAACATACGGTGACGTTCATCATTCAAAACTGTCACTGTAACATTACATACTGTGACGTTTATCATTTAACACCATTACCGTAGCATGATATACAATAACATTTAGATTTCAAAAGCGTCACTGTAACATGACATAAGGTGATGTTCATTTTTCAAAATTATCACCATAAGATGACATACAGTGACATTCCTTATTTAAAATCATCACCTTAGCATGACATGCATCGACGTTTATTATTTGAAAACATCACTACAACATGACATAAGGTGACTTTTTTATTTCAAAACCCTCAATGTTGCATAATATTTATGTTTCAAAACTGTCACCATAGCATGACGTATGGTGACATTTATTTTTCAAATCTGTCACCATAGCATGACGTACGGTGACATTTACTTTTCAAATCCGTCACCATAGCATGACGTACGGACATTTATTTTTCAAATCCGCCACTATAGCATAAAATATGGTGATGTAAATCATTCAAAAACATCAATGTAGCTTGAGATATGGTGTTGTAAATGTTTATTACCGTTACAAAAACATGACATATGGTGACGTAAATCTTTCAAAAACTCTTACCATATAATACCTTTTGGTGACACAAATTTTGCAAACCGTTGCATATAACTTGGTAAATTTTGGAAATGGTTTCCAAATAAACATTGCTATATTTAGTTTTGGTCACGGTTTTTTAAAACCGTTACGACATAGAGCAACGGTTTAGAAAAAAACCATTACTAAAGGGTCTTACATGGCAACTGTTTTTAAAAACCGTCACAACATACAGCAACAGTTTTAAAAATCTTCCTAAACTGTTACCTTAGGGGACCTTTTATTAACGTTTTTATCTAAACTGTTGCTTTATGTTTCTAGGTGTTTGTTAATAGTAACGTTTTTTTTCATAAAAACTGTTACTAAAACAATTCTTTAACTTTTGTTGTCACTTTTTGCAACGGTTTTCTAGCAAACTGTTACAAACCTATTTTTTCAAACTCTTCCATGAATAGCGTTTGATATGGAGATTGATTTGGTGCATCTCATTCTAAAGTACATCCAATGATGGAGATCCATTATTACGCTTCTCATCTTAATTCTCATTCTCATCAGAACTCAACCCTATATATAGATATATACATGTATACACACACACACACACATATATATATATATATGTTGCTAAAGGCATGATTCAGAGAAGTACTGAAAAATCCGTAAATTATATATGGTAAATGAGTTGTGGACTCGTGCTGTAGTGTGACGATTGATCATGTAACATAAAAAAAAGACCGTTTAATAAGACACCTATTTAATAAGACAATAAAACCCAATCAAACCAAAAATTTGAGAGAGATGACCCGAAAAAGCCTGGTATGGAAAAAGGTAAGAAAAGTCCAATTAAGCTCGAAAAGTTTGGCCTAAAAAGCTCGATCAGTTACTTTTTCAACCCAAAAATCCGATCCAGACCTACAAAAATCCAAGTCTGTTTTTACTAACTCATGAAAACGGGTTTGAAAGGGATATGCCTTGGTAAATCTCTAGTCAAAGCCACAAACACATTAATTAGGTGAGAGTTACGTACTTGACGATAATCTTGTTATATGAGGGTGACTCCATATATTAGCGTACAACCCAATTAGTCTTTTTTTATACATCTTGGTCATTGACTAACCCATAAAGTTCAAACAACGATTTTAAATGTATGCATCAATATATAGAAAAATAATACAAGTCATGAATTTATTTGGTTTAGTTTGATTTACATATAAAAAAAACCTAGCTTTGATTTGTTAGAAGCATATAACAACGGATTGAAAAATAACACGCAATATAATGAAAACCTATTATAACGCTCTTTGGGTTAAATGGCGCTATGAATTAGCCATTTCAATAACTTGATGTTAGACGAATAACGTCAGATAAAGTTAGGGTCTATTTAGTTTGCAGGATTGGGTATGATTTGAAGGAATTTGGAATTGAATTCATTACAATTTTATGTTTGGTTTGAAAAAAAGTTTTGATTTGAAATCTCCTCCCGATTCCAAAATACTTCCACATTGAATCCTTCAAAAACATTCCATCAAACCACACGAGCCTTTAAGGATTAAAGCAGATATAAAAAGTATGATCATTGATTAAGAGTGAAAAAATATGGCAGTTAAATCTGTATTATGATATGAGAGAGAGAGAGAGAGAGAGAGAGGAAAAGAATTAAAGACATGACTTAAAAGATAAAAAGTATTCATCAGATAAAATATACATAAATCAAATTAAACTAAACTTATCAATAAATATCATAGTAAAGTCTATAAATGTTTCGATACTTCAAACTTCTTTTGAAGTAGATAGATTATATCACGTAAAACATGCATTAATTAAGGCATTTAAAGCCTTTCACAACTCCTCATTTAGACTGCACTTGTACATGGAATGAGACCGGACAAGACGAAAACAAACTCACTGTCCCACGTTTGGTGCGACATGGGACATGATAAGAACTTACGGTCCCACGTTTGATGTGACATGGGACAGAGACAAGAACTAGGACAAGGTGGGACACCGTATGGGAAAAAAAAACTTTTTCTTGTTCTACAAAAATAGGTGGAACAAGAATGAGATAGAAACTAAAATACAACTAATTAACTCTCGTTTTATATATAACATTAACATGATATTTGTTTTAGAGGTCAAAACGTTAAATTTGGACCAAATGTGCCCAAAAAAATCAATAAACTAGATATGTGGGTTGACTTACATTAAAGGAAATTTGTACTTTACTTTTTCAAATATATTCTTCTTTGTGTTTTAGACAATTTTAACTTTTGATGTCCTTTTACACGTTTAATTTGATCACCACTAATTTCAATTGATCTCATATAAATTCCGTCTTTAAAGACACTAATCTTGAATGACATTTTTTGACTCATTTAACAGGTGAAAATAATTGATAGAGTATTATCTAGGTTTTCCAATTTAAACAAAACTATATATACTTTTAAAAATATATTTATTTATGAATGTATAGCTAAAAGAAAGATTTGAGAGAATATATATTCAAAAAGCAGGTCAAAATATATACCCGTAAATAAATATTCTTTTGAGTGTATATTATTCAAAATTTTAGGAGGCGTAATTTGTCGTTATTATTAATAAATAATAAATAATAAATAATAAATAATAAATAATAAATAATAAATAATGCAAGTAAGAAAAAGTGAGTGTTCTCAATTGGATGGCTGAAGAGTTGGTGGTTGAAAGCTGAAGTCATAACTCAACTCTATAGTTGAATCCGTCCCCCATTTCTGCCCTCTTTCTTTTGCCTCCATGTGATCGGTGTGGCTCACATTTTGTCTTTACTACCGCTTGCACAATATATACTTTTTAATTCAAATACTCATTTTATTTATTTAAATTGGTTTCTTAGTCATTTATTAAATATTATTTGGCTTATAACCCAAGTACGTGATTACGACGGCCAGATCCGCAACCGTCATTGTGAATCTGGTGGAATTCGAAACATATTTTTTGTTTTTTAGTCAAGTTCGTAATATTGTGAATGTGGATATTACGGATGTAGTGACATTTGAATAAATACGGAAACTAAATGGCTAGAAGATCAATTTAAATGACTATTTAATTCAATTTCCCAAATTTCAAATAAAAAGGAATTACCTATTTTTATTTCTTACAAAAAAATAAATTAAAAAAATTGGTCAAAGAAAGTTTCTTGTTCTGGACAGCGAGAAGTTGGTGAATGTTGAGTCTATATATACAATTCTTCACCCATACTTCCTCTTGTACCAACACAGACCCGACCCACTCTGAACATAAATTTGCTTCTCATTTGCCAATTAGTTAATGAACAAGATGGGTTCATCATCTGCACATGTGAATGTTCCTGTTGAAGCAAAGGAGGACGAATCGTTCCTATTCGCCATGCAATTGGCAACTGCATCCGTCTTACCCATGGCCTTGAAATCCGCCATCGAGCTTGATTTGCTCGAAACGATAGCGAAAGCGGGGCCCACCGCTTCCCTTTCATCTTCGCAGCTAGCGGCTCAGCTCCCCAAGGTTAACAACCCCGAAGCGCCGGTCATGCTGGACCGGATCTGTAGTCTTCTGGCTAGTCACTCTGTGCTCACTTGTACCCTCAAGGACCTGGCTGATGGTGGCGTTGAGCGGCTCTATGGTTTGGCTCCGGTCTGCAAGTTCTTGATCAAGAACCAAGATGGTGTGTCAATGGCACCCCTCTTGCTCATGAACCAGGATAAGGTTCTCATGGAGAGCTGGTAAGTGTGTCATGTTTAACTTTAAGCGCTCCATCCTATTGTAACACATTTACACATGACAAGCAAATATTTGGTCTCATAAATTAAGTCTTATAAAGGAGTCTATGAGGACATTTTTTGTGTTCTATAAAACCGATTTCATCCTAGCGTCTACTACTACTACGATTTGAAGCTTAACAAGCTGAATCGAATGATGATGTTAGGTACTATCTGAAAGATGCAGTTTTGGATGGTGGAATTCCATTCAACAAGGCTTATGGTATGTCGGCCTTTGAATACCATGGCAAAGATCCCCGATTCAATAAGGTATTTAACAGTGGCATGTTTAATCATTCGACCATGACCATGAAAAAGATCGTAGATTTGTATGATGGTTTCAATGGCCTCACCACCCTTGTCGATGTTGGTGGTGGCACTGGTGCCAGCCTTAACATGATCATTGCTAAACACGCTTCGCTCAAGGGTATCAATTTCGATTTGCCTCATGTTATTGAAGACGCTACCACTTATCCCGGTACGTACACTTGTACTATTGCATAGTCTTATCATAACAAAATCGGATTTATAAGACTTCAAACATGTCTAAATGTCATAGTATACTACAAGTTCTTATAGGAAACTTTTAAAAAATGTTCTATAAACACATCTTTCATAGGACATTTATTTCAAAAAGCTTATAAAACTCCCAAAAGTGTCCCATTAACTTATATTGTAACACATTTGTATAAGACCAACAGGTGTTAAGAATTATACAGAAACTAAGTTGGCCCATAAACTGGTTGCAGGTATTGAGCATGTTGGAGGTGATATGTTCGAAAGTGTGCCAAAAGGAGATGCCATCTTTATGAAGGTGAGTTTTCCTTTCTGTTCTTCAGTTCTCAAGAAACACCCTTGATTTTGCTTCCCAAATAAGTCTCTAAACGAGTGTTAAATTTGACAGTGGATACTCCATGATTGGAGTGATGCACATTGCCTGAAATTTCTCAAGAACTGTTATGAAGCACTTCCGGCCAACGGGAAAGTGATCGTGGCTGAATGCATACTTCCAGAGGCTCCAGACTCGACCATGGCGACCCAGAATGTGGTGCACATTGATGTGATCATGTTGGCTCATAATCCAGGAGGCAAAGAGAGAACCGAGAAGGAATTCGAGGCCTTAGCCAAGGGAGCAGGATTCAAGGGTTTCCACAAGGCTGCTTGTGCTCTCAATACATGGGTTATGGAATTCTGTAAATAGATTTGAGTGTAAGCATTTGTGGATGAGGATGTGGTTTGATTTTAATGGTTAATGCTCTTCCTTTTGGGACGCGTGACTTTGATTCTAATAAAAATATTGATTTGATAGCTGATCGGATCCATTTTTGAGGTCATTTTAAAGAACCATGGGCTTTTGGTTTAGTCTGCTCAAGTCTACTAAACCATTAACAGGCCAAAAACTTGATGTATGTTTCATTTTTTAGCCATTTTCTAACTCAAATTCATTTTTTAGTTGATCCTTGTGCATAAGACTTACATATATACGTAAGGGTTGATTTTCGAGAAAAACAAAATCCTCATGCATATATGTAAGGATTATGTTTTCTGCATAAGGATTCTTCTTCGTATTATTATTATTATTGTTTTGGCTAAAAACCAATCCTCACGCATATGCATATGCCTTCTGGATAAAGATCAGTTAAAAAATGAATTTGAGTCAGAAAATGGCTAAAAAACGAAACCCTATTTACGGATTGCCTAATGGCTAATTCTCTCAATTTTCCTTAAGAAGGCTCCACATAAGATGTAATCCTTAGAACTTGCTGCACAAAAACTCTCTATCGAGTCTGTCAAACAAAATCATGGATGTTATCATAATGGTTCTTTTTGGATAGTAATATGTGTTAGAACTTAGATTTAGGAATCGAATTTCGTTCGTACAATGATATTGAATTGAAACAAAACCCATAATTATATATATATATATATATACACACACACACACATATATATATATACTAGGTTCGATCTCGTGTATTACACGGTGTAATTTGAAAAATTAAATAATGTCAGGAACTTATCTTACAGATATGAATGATCATCGAAAGTGCGATACTACTTCAGACTTGTACTCTTGAAATAACTCTGAAGTATAACTCTGAAAAATGACTCTTCAGACTTGAATTTATAAATGAAACTATATCAATAATTAGTTGAAATTAAGTTAACCTAGAATAAAATTAAATTTAAAAATGAAACTATATTAGTAAATGGAATTTAAACTTAGAAATAAATTTAGAATGACTCTTCAGACTTGTACTCTTGAAATGACTCTGAAGTATAACTCTGAAGAATGATTTCAGACTTGCACTCTTGAAATAACTCTGAAATAAAACTCTTCATACTTCAGAGCTCTATATAGGCAAGACAGAAGCTCTGCATGCACTATGCAGAGGCTCTGCATGCTCAATGCAAAGGCTCTGCATGGTGCTCCGTTTGTAAAAGAAGACTTCAGAATTCAGTTGAGATAACTCTGAAGAATGACTCTTCAGACTTGTACTCTCGAAATAACTCTGAAGTATAAAATTAATCCCACTAAATCAGAATTCAGACTTCTAAGTCTGGAAAGAAAAAAAGACTTCAGAGTTCGGGTAAGCTAAATCTGAAAAAGAAGACTTCAGAATTCGGGTGAGCTAACTCTAAAGAATGACTCTTCAGACTTGCACTCTTCAGACTTGTAGAAGATTTAAGAGTTTAACCTTCTAAGTCTGAAAAACAAGACTTTAGAGTCCAGACTCCAGAGTTCGGGTGAGCTAAGTCTGAAAAAGCAGACTTCAGAGTTCGGGTACGCTAACTTTTTAGAATGACTCTTCAGACTTGTACTCTTGAAAAAACTCTGAAGTAAAACTCAGAAGAATGAATTCAGACTTGTACTCTTGAAATAACTCTGAAGTAAAACTCTGAAGAATGACTTCAGACTTGTACTATTGAAATAACTCTGAAGTATAACTCTGAAGAATGACTCTTCATACTTGAATTTAGAAATGAAACTATATCAATAATTAGTTAAAATTAAGTTAATCCTAGAATAAAATTGAATTTAGATATGAAACTATATTAATAAATTGAATTTAAACTTAGAAGAGCGCATGTGTCAAATCTGAAGAAGAAGTCTAAAGACCTTGAGTTGAAAGTTATTCAAATACCTAATATCTTTGAAAAAGACCCCATGTTGAAGTTTGCATCATACAGAGCAAGATCAACCAGAGTCCTCTGGTCCTTAAGGACCAGAGCCCATGTGAACTCACCAACCAAAAGCAAGGCCAACCAAAGGCCCTCTGGTCAGCCAGTGTCTCTGGTTCGTCTATCCAGAGCCTCTGGGTCAAAAAAATATTAAAGACTTAAAGAATTTGAGTTCCAATTACAATCAAAGACCCTCTGGTTAAACATGAAGATCAACCAGAGCCCCGGGCTCTGGTTCCTTTATGATGGATTAGAATATTTTTCAAAAGTTCAAATAAACAACCAGAAGCAAAGCCAGACAAACCAGAGTGGCTTTAGCTTACAAGACTAAGTCTAAGTCCTAAAGACTTATCTTCAAAGTCTAGATAAGTTTATTACAGGACTTTTACTCTTGAAATTACTCTGAAGTAAAACTCTTCAGACTTCAGAGCTCTGTATAGGAAAGCCAAAAGCTCTGCATGCACAATACAGAGGCTCTACATGGTGTTCCATCTGGAAAAGAAGACTTCAGAATTCGGGTGAGGTAACTCTGAAGAATGACTCTCCAGACTTGTATTATTCAGAATTGTAGAAGACTTCAGAGTTTAGACTTCTAAGTCTTAAAAAGAAGACTTCAGACTTCTTGTTCTAAGTCTAAAAAAAGACTTCAGAGTTCAGACTTTTATGTCTGAAAAAGAAGACTTTAGAGTTCAGACTCTAGAGTTTGGGTGAGCTATGTCTGAAAAAACAAACTTCAGAGTTTGGGTGAGCTAACTCTGAAGAATGACTTCAGACTTGTTCTCTTGAAATAACTCTGAAGTAAAAAAATTTAGTAAATTAAAATTTAGAAGTTAACTCTAGAATAAAATTGAGTTTAGAAATAAAATTATATTAGTAAATTGAATTTATACTTAGAAGCAAACACCATTTTTTCTGGGAATCAGTTACCACACGAATTAATTAACCCAAGAATAAAATCAATTGCAACATAAATTAGTGGGATTGATTGAATAAGAGGACACATGTCAATCTAATGAGTATAATTGAACTGTTAATGTAAATTGTATCTAGATACGTTGAAATAAGTCTAATTGAACCACTAATGTAAATCGTGTCTAGATACGTGTTTTGAGGCGGTAAAACAAGAAAACCGACTCACCAGAAGATGACACGTGTCACCCAAGTTACTTATTTATTATAAGTATATATGTATAATCGATATATATATATATATATATATATGTTTAATTACATATGAAGTACAACAATAAACTGAGTAAGAAATGATGACCAACTCGATTATCTTGATAAAAATCCATTGAAGAACGAATACGGGATTGAGGTCTGCGGTGGCAGTGTCCTTAGACAGAAATTCGTCCGGTGTACGGTGAAATTAGACGTCTATCTAGAGGATACAACAATTCGTTCAAGATACGGACTTGAACCTGGCAAATCAACTAGTCCTCCATATGAATTTGATAAGAACGAGAGCAGGAAAAAACCTAGGAAATTTCATGTATGCCTGCCAAAAAGAAAACGTAGACGAAGAGGGTATTACGCTGGGTGTAACCGGCAATAACTGTCGGACAGAGCCGCTTCAGCTCTCTGTTTTTTGCTAAAAACTAAGACCACCTTATGATATCGAGAGACCCCAAGAGTACCAAGGCCCAAGACCCTCTTGATATTTAATATGTAGTGGAACCAACTAGATAGTTAGACAATTTATCAATAGCTATAGTCTTGGTAATATAAGGCACTTGAAAAATTGAAATTTATTCTATGTGGGACAAACCATATACCCAACAATACCCCACATTTTCTATTCAAACTCCAACAATACCCCATATGCTAATAGAAAATAAGTCATTTCAAGGGTCTTATTGTTCTATATCAGAAAATCAAACATAACATGCATCGGAAAAGGTGTCTAGGTGACTTGAAACTTACGTAGTGAATACTCACCAGACCTACTTTGTGGGTAGTGACGAGAAGTCTTAAACTAACCACGTTTTGTAGTAAGTCTAGACAATGAATATCACACATAGCATGTTAATGCATAAATTGAACCTTACCGTTGTGTTCATTTCGGTCGTGAACAAATCCTTCTTCATGAGACTTTTAAAAAAACATAGCCATATATTCCTCAAAGATGCGACCCCACATCAATCTCATGTAGGTAATACTGATAAAAAACATTCCGTAGTGTTCCACTATGAAGCTATCAGTATTATCAAAAATAAGAATTCATCCCTAAATCATCAACGGAAAATACATAAAATAAAACATCATAGGAATAGGCATACTTGTGTATTGAAGCTTGAGTCTTCTTCAACTAGTTGTCCTATTGAACCTAGACCATGGGATCTCCAATATTGCTAGGTTAGGTTTCCACCAAGTGGTGACTCATTGAATTGTCTTTAAGCCTATCCCCCTCGATGTATAGGAGACTTGTTCTTTATTAAGGCCTTTGGTTAAAGGATCAACGATATTTTCCTTTGACTTCACGTAGTCGATGGAGATAATTCCATTCTTGAGCAAGTCTCGTATGGTTTTGTGGTGACGCCTGATATGTCTCGATTTGTTGTTGTAGGTTTGATTCTTTGATCTTGTTAGAGCTGCCATGTTGTACTATGTATGCTAACGACAGTTCAGACTTAGGCCACAAAGGAATACCTTCTAGGAAGCTTTTGAGCCATTCTTCCTCTTCAACCGCTTTATCTAAGGCTACAAATTTGGCTTCCAAAGTGGACCGTGTGTTCACGGTTTGCTTAGAAGATTTCTAGGATATGGCTGCATCACCAAGTGTAAATACATATCCACTTGTGGATTTGCTTTCAAAATGGTTGGAAATCCAATTTGCATCACAGTATCCTTCTAGTACAGGAGGATACTTAGTGTAATGTAACCCATAATTCATTGTGTACTTGAGATATCGAAGCAATCGTATTAGTGCGTACCAATGATCTTTGTTTGGGTTATGTGAGTATCGACTTCTACTCACAGTATATGCTAGATGCGGTTGAGTACAATTCATGATGTACATCAAACTCCCTAGTACTTAGTGTATTCTAGTTGAGATACACTATCTCCTTGATTCTTCTTAAGTTGGCT